TATTTGTGAAACTTGTTTGCTTCTGCTCCTTTAATTGATCTGTTTTGACTCCCTGACTTTGTGGTGTGATCTTCTATGGTAGTAGATCTGTGAGATTGAGTGGTGTAGTTTCCTTGAGCTTCTGAACTTGATGGTCTCAGGATGCCTTTTATGTCATTTATGTTAGATCTCTGGATGTAATTGGGTTTTACTTGTTCTTGGGTTGTTCTTTTGTGGGTCCTTCCCTCCAGCTGGTTGACTGAGGGTCACACTATTCACCACCTCTTGTATGCTGTTGTGCAGGTGCTGCCACAACTAAACCACAAATTCCAGGAAAAAAACCCACACCCACAAAAATACCCCACCAGTATCAACAAATAAACCAGTATTAATAAGGGTATAAAGACATTAAGAGTATTATAAGAAAGGAGAGCGAATATGAGATGACCTATTTAACAAATGATTTTGAGAAGGTAGAGGGAGGAGTACTAATAAGAGTAGGGAGTTGCAGCAATGTGAAGAGAGAAAGTAAAATTTACATCATGAATAAAAAGGGGAATGAAGAAGGCAGAATATGCATAAATTTGATGGACAAGAAATGAATGTTAATAAACTATGCAGGTATCTCTGGCTGGTGTGGCTCAGTGTATTGAGTGCCAGCCTGCAAACCAAGGGGTCACCAATTGGATTCCCAGCCTAGGGCACATGACTGGGTTGCAGGCCAGGTCCCCAATAGGGGGCACGTGAGAGGCAACTACATATTGATGTTTCTTTCCCTCTCTTTCTCCCTCCCTTCCCCTGTCTCTAAAAATAAATAAATAAAATCTTTTTTAAAAGCTGTACAGGAAAGAAAATATCATAAATAATGGAGAAGACCACAACAGATTTCATCTCAGAAGCCTCTAATATTTACCACTGTTTTTTCTTTCTGGATCCACCTATGCTGATGTCAGATGTTAACCCCATCTGACCTTAAGTGGTCTGTTTGAGACTTCCAGGGATCTACTGTCTGTGGCTGTCTCCTTCAATTGTTAATCTAGTCACTTTGTACTCAGCAGGCAGGCTTATGCACCATAGGGTGGAGCAGAATCCCTCCTGGGGTCGGGGTTATTATTTTCCCTGGAGCTGCTGCCATAAGGGGGATGACTCAGAACCGGGATCACAGCATCTACTCTCTCAGTTCTCTCCCCAAAGTTCCATCCATCCCCAGCCTCTCCTCAGGCATCTATAGCCCACTCTGCCTGCCTCCTTTGCTAAAGCCCAGGGTAAGTGGCTGCAAGTGAAAATTTGTGCATTTGCCCTTTAAACAACTTTGCATCTCCAGCCATCTGTCTCTGGCAGAGGGCAACCCTACTGCTTTTTGCTGCTGGTTGTTATCTGTCTGCTTTTGGGGCTCTGGTGCTCTAGGCTGGGGATCACAGATTAGGGTTTAGACCCATTCTTCCCAGAGTCATCCAATTGGTTGCTTAATTGTCCCGCTGGCGCTGCCCCCTGTGGGTGCTCAGCCAGCATTCTTGAGTCTCCACCACACTCCCTACCATCAGGTTGTGCTGAAGCTAATTCTTCTGTCTGTCTGAGGTTATATGTCTTTTCTCTTGCTATTGTTCATTTGTTTGTTCTGAGTGATTTCCCTACAATTTAGTTGTAATTCTTGCTTGGTCCTAGGAAGAGGTTAGTGTGGCTTCCATTCATTCCTCTGCCATCTTACCTTCCTTCCTCACAGTACAGATATAACAATGTATTTAACCATTCCCATATTGGTAGACTTTCAAATTATTTACAATTTTTCAATATTGTAAATAGCACTGTAGCAGAAATCATTATTTGTATATCTGTATATGTCTCATTACTTTCTTAAGATTCTTAGGAGTGAAGTTGCTCAGTCAAATAATATGGAAAGTGAAGTTTTTAATAAATATTACTGATCTGAGAGACCAATTGTTTAAATGGCAATTCCTGTTCTGTGCCCTGTTCTCATATCTCTTTGATTCGTTAACTTATTTCAATCACCTGCATCAATAAAATCCTAAGCACACAATGAAATAGGATTTGGTTTTGCAGTAGTTTAGGTAACTATTAGTTTAATAGGAAATTATCTTGTTGTATTACTTATATGACTGACTATAGGCATTAGACCCTTGACCAAAGAAAAAATGATGTTTGTGGAATTAACCTGACCCTAGAAGGTCTGAGGATCCAGTGAAATCACAGACTTGGAAGTCATAATTGGCCCCATGTCCATATCAATATCAGAATGTACTCCCTCCCTACCCTTGATGAGTACATTGCCTCATCTATTTTAATGGCCCAATTCTCTACTCCACATCAGATAGCTCCTGTCTTTCCTATCCACACCCTGTTACTGTTTACTCTAGAAGACAAGGGGCACTAAATTAAGAAAGATTTTGTTTGTGCCACTAAGAAATGTTTTTAAACTTTAATGTGCAATGGAATCAACTGAGGAGTCTTTTTACTGTGCAGATTCTGATGCAGCAGGTCTGGGGCAGAACCTCAGAGTCTACATTTCCATCTACCTTTGAGGTGTTCCTGGTCTACAAATCACATTTTGAGAAGCAAAACCATAAACCACCCAGGACCTACCTATATCAGGGGTCCCTGAACTTGTCCGAAAGTTAGTATCATCTGGGGATCTTTTAAAAATTCCAAAGCACAGGCCACACCTCATGCCTATTAAATCATGATCTCTAAAGAATGGGACACGGATCTTTTTAGAAGCTCTCATCAGGATTCCAAAGTGTAGACAAACTTGAGAACCACTAGCTTACATGAAGATGCTTAAAAATTATACATTGAGCCCTCACTGGTGTGGCTCAATTAGTTAGGTATCATCCTGCAAGGCCAAGGGTCACTGGTTCAATTCCCAGTCTGAGCACATTCCTGGGTTGCTTGTTTGGCCCCTGTTGTGTGCATATGAGAGGCAACCAATTGATATTTCTCTCACATCAATATTTGTCTCCCTCTCTTTCTCCCTCCCTTCTCCTGTCTCTAAAAATAAAGAAAGAAATATTTTTAAAGATAAAAAAACATATATTGAATAAAGTTATGGTTGCCTGCTACTCATGAGGAATTGCCTAAATTGAAGGAATAAATAATTTAGCTCTCTGCCTACATTTCAAAATGTTTGTTTTTTTCAACTATGTTTACAAAAATGCTTTGCATCTGGTATAATAAATGATAAATTCCTGCCCTTGGAAGTAATTAATTCATTCACTCTTAGAATGTTGAATCTAAAGGGACCCTAATAAATAGTCTATTCTAGCACTCTCATTTTGTAGAGAAGAAAACTGAGGCTCATAGTGGTGAAGTGACTTGTTCTAGATCACAGAGGAAACCAGTAGCAGAATCAGGGCTAGAATACTTGATTACCAATCCTATACTCTGTCAACCCCAATACTATAAACTATATATTTTTTTTATTTAGCCCATGTATTAAAACCACTATTAAAGAATTAATTTGTCATTTGTTATCAGTTTATATTTTCTACTGGCCTGGAATTCTAGGTCTTTTTTTTAAAGATTTTATTTATTTATCTTTAGAGGGGAGGGGAAGGAGAGAGGAAGAGAAATATCAATGTTTGGTTGCTTCTTGTGCATCCCCTGCTGGAAACTGGCCTGCAACCCAGGCATGTGCCCTGACTGGGAATTGAACAGAGGTTATTTGGTTTGCAGGCCCATGCTCAATTCACTAAGCTACACCAGTCCTATCTAGGTCTTTATTTTATTATCTATTTATGTAACTCTGGGCAAGTCACTACCTATACAACCCTGTTTTCTTATCTTTAACAGAGAAATAATAATGTCATGATAGAATTTAGATTTTGGAAGGGGGCTTAGAAGTCAACTGTTCCAAACTTTTCATTGTATAGATGAGGGTGATGAGGCCCAGAGCAGATCTGGAACATTTCCAAGGTCACACAGCAACTTAGATTAGGACTAGAACCCATTCTCCTTCCACTATACCTCACCTGTCTCTCATCTTATCTCAAAAAGGTATTCGGATGTCATTGTGCTTTGATGAAGTAAATAGTAATGTAAGTGAAAGCTGCTACTGTTCTTCCTAATCATCATCATAACCTAATTTCTCTACTATTTATTTTTAAAATTTATTTTCATTGTATTTTCCCATTACCATATAGTCCCCCTTATACCCCTTCCCCCTAGTAATCACAACACTCTTCTCCACATCCATGAGTCCTTTTTAATTTTTGCTCAATACCTCCATGCCCAGCCCTCCACTCCAGCTGTCATCCTGCTCTTCATCTATGAATCTATCCCTATTTTGCTTATTGATGCAGATTTTTTATTGGATTACACATATGAGTGAAATCATATGATATTTGTCTCTCTCTGGCTGGCTTATTTCACTCAGCATAATATTTTCCAGGACCATCCATGCGGTCACAAAAAGGTAAAATTTTCTTCTTTTTTTTATGGCTGAATAGTATTCCATTGTGTAAATGTCCCATCTGATAAGGGGTTTATATCCAAAATTTACAAAGAACTTATAAAACTGAGCACAAAAATATCCAATTAAAATGGGCAGCGGTTCTGAACAGATACTTCTCCTAAGAGGACATACAGATAGCCAATATACATATGAAAACAATGCTCAACTAATGATCAGAGAAATGCAAATTAAAACCACAATGAGATATCATCTCACACTTGTCTGAGTGGCTACCATCAACAAACAACAATTGTTGGCAAGGATATGGAGAAAGGGGAACCCTTTTGCACTTTCTACTATTTATAAAACCAAGACTTAATTTTGGCATTTAGGGCTACATGGAGTCAAAGGCATGGTTGACAAAAGTAAATCCCCAGTGTAATTCTTAGTAGTCCATTTCTTCCAAAGAGGAGAGAATAAAGTTTATTATTAGTAGAACTGTTACCATTAGAGTGATATGGCACATTGATTACATTTCTGGTGTTCACAGAACATTGAGAATGAGTATGTGGGGATCTCAGTCAACCAAAGGCAGGGCTTACAACCAACACACCTTTTGCCTTTTTACCTGGACACACCTTGCAGCATTTTCCATCTATTTTTTGAGGATACTTGCAGGGATACCGGTTGGGACAGTGGATTTTCTTACATTCTTGTTTGGTGATATTACAAGTACACAGTACACACTCCACAATACCAAAAGCCCGAAGGTTAGGGTGCCAGGATTCACCATGAGAATAGGTCTTTCCATTGGAAACACACACTGAAAGAGAACACAATACCGTAAAATAAAGGCTAGGGAGCAAAAATGCCTCCCAGTGCTCAGAACCCAAACCATGAACTCCTTAAGACATCAAGTATTCTTTGATCTTTACATAGCCATAGAGATGCATTTACAGGGCACCCTCTTCTTTCTGGGGGGCAGAATGAGGAAGTGAGGATTTTATTTTTTAAGTTATATTTTATTTTATATTTTTTACTGTGTGAAAACCATTTATTTGTTTTCTTTTTAAAAATTAATTAGTTTTTAAACATTTTATTGATTATGCTATGACAGTTTCCCATGTCCCCCCTTCACTGCCCTCCACTTTGCACACCCTCTCCTGCCTACATTTTTTAAAATTTTATTTAGTTATTTTTCAAGTACAGTTTTTTGTCTATTTCTCCCATCCCAACCCAACCCACCCTGTGCTCCCCACCTCCCTCCCATTTCCACCCCCCTTAGTTCTTGTCCTTGTGTCCTTCATACTTATTCCTCCAAATCCCTCCCCTTTTTTCCCCTTAAATTCCCTCCCCTCTCCCCTCTCGTCACTGTCCCCCTGTTCTCTATTTCAGTGTCTTTGTTTTTATTCTGCTTGCTTGTTTGTTTTGTGGTTTAGCTTCCTGTTAATTTTTAAGTTATATTTTATTGATTATGCTATTACAGTTCTGAGTTTTCCACTCTTGTCCCCCTCCACCCAGCACCCCCCACTCCCTCAGGCAATCCCCTTACCATTTATTGGTCATGTCCATGAGTCAAGCCTCTTCTAACTAAAAATACATCATGTGCCTTTTCTACCATTGGCAAGTATTCAGGTTCTTCAGCAGTAGCCTCTGGATTCTCACAAGTGCCAGGCAGTTAATAAATATTTTTTAAAGTGCAGGAGTGAGTGAAAGCAACGTTGTATCTGTCCTGGGTATCTGATAAGGAAGTTCTAGTAGAATGTAGTTTTAATAGCTACAGTTCATAGAGAAAACAGACCAAGTAGGTGTTCTTCTTGGCATGTAAATTTCGTAGAGAGATTTACCACCCAGGGAGACTAGATGCAAAAACTACTGCTCTTCCCAAAGGACTGTCCCCCGCCCCAGATCCTAAAGCAAATCCATTCAGAATATCAAATGCTTTGAAAGTCTCATCCACCAACAGATGGGTATGGAGCTTAATGGTGCTTGCCTGGGAAGAAAGGTGCTAAGACAAGATTAAGAGAGAAAACCTACACCTCCAAGGTGAGTGGTTACAGGTAGTCTTTTTTTTTTGCCTCTAATCTTCAGGCAGCATCTTGTATCCCCTACCTTATAGTGGCTACAGAGATTTGGCTGAAGTCAGTCACTGCCTGTTCTACAGATATCCTTTGATGGTTTCACATTTGTTTAGTGGAAAGTGAAGTCAATGACTCCATGTTTTCTGAGGAGCCTTACAAGAGCAAGCATCTGGGCTGCAAGCTGAGGGGCCTATGAAGGGAAAGGGTCACAGGAACAACCAGAACATATCCAGCTCCAACAGTAAGGCATGGATCTAGGATCCAGGATGAGAATTGCATAGGGCTGTGAATGAGGAGGTCTGAGAATAAGTTGTCTCCCATTTTGAAAGTGTTAAGACATTTTGGAGATTTCAAGCCATGACTGGGGCTGGGTGTGTTTCTTATTCTTACCATCAGCTCATCATATCCAGGGTGACCTGTCGGCAACCCAATCAACAACATCTCCAGGGTGGGTTGTATCACTTAAGGTGGGGCTAGGGTGGGAGAAATAGCCCCACTTCGGGCGTTTCTAGGAATTAACTGATTTGGCTGCAAGACAGCAGCCTCAGGATGAATCATTGGGCTATTTCTTTCTCATCAAGTCCACTGGGTCACATTAAGAAATATGGAAGTGTTGGCTGCCTTTTCCTATCCTTTTCAAGAGGATAGGAGTACTAGGTACTCTGCTAGAGTACTAGGCACTCTAGCAGGTCAATCTGTGTAAAGATTTCCAAGTACCTAAGAATCCAAATCAGAGAAGCTCCCCAACCTTATAGTAAAATAGAATAGGGACTTGATGTCTAAACTGTGAGGCTCAGGGATGTGGATCAAATCACATGACAAGACAAGAAAGATGTGTTGTTCTCTCTCCTGCCATGACCTCTTCTCTCTCTCCCACAGACAGTGACACTCCCTTCTGGACAATGTAATCAAGTGGGTACACTGTCTGCTTCAAGAAAATTTACACTGGACTCAAGTTAAAAATGGTAGAGTCCTGTTGCTTCTCCTCTTTGACTCTACCAAGGGACCCAGTACATTGTATCCAAGAGGAAAATATAGTCAGCAGGAGAGCTAAAAAAGAAAAAGAGGCGCTGGTAGCTATGCAACTCCCAATGTTATATAGCTAGGATCCCTCTCCCCTAAATATTTGGACTAAAGAAACAATCTAGACTGGATGACAGCCTACACTCTGAAGTTCAATAGGGTGAGGTTAATTCTTTTAAGGGAAATGCAGCCTTCTTCCCACCAACAAATTCTCAAGATGATTTTGGATGCATCCATATGGAACATTGGGAGTTGGGTGTGGAGACAAGTGATTATCCAGTGAACTACAGTAGAAAGGTTAGGAAAGAACTGCTTTGACCGAATCAATTAGGGTCAATGAATAAATGTGAACCAGCTGGGGCTTTTGTACGACATGGAGAAAATCAAGGGATGAGCCTCTGCCCTGAAAAATGAAGAGGCCTGTAGGAATTATGGGATTTAGAATTTTCAAAGTCCATTTCCCCACACATTTTTCAAGGCTTTGAAATACTTTCAGAGCAAATGGAATCTATTAGAGGCAATTTAGTATTGAAAATCAAACTGCATCTTTACCTTACTCCTCCTCATCATCATTTCATAAATTTGTATCAGAATGCCTTGCAATTGAAAACTATTAAATTTCAAATCAAACCCTGATCGATAATAAATATTTCCAATTCCTCTTATATATCACCATTTTTTAATTGAGAATTTTATTTTGAAGGTTCTTTTTAAGCCTATTAGTTTCAAAATAATTTAATTTTTTATCTGTAATCTGAAATTTATATTTAACTAGTAACAGATGTGATCAGCTAGCTTTGGCTTGACTAACTTTGTTGAGATTTATATTAGTTCTTTGTAATAGATTGTTTTTCAACCCCTGTTATTCAATCATTTGATTTAATAATTTATTACTTTTAACCCATTTAGAGAACTGCCTTTGATTTGTTTTTCCTTTAAAGGAAACAAAACATGTTTATGGTTTCATAAATAGGAACTAGCTGAGTTCTTGCTCTGAAGAGCTGGCTGACACAATGACTAAAAAGGTAAACTGTTTTATTGAATTTCTCCTTTCCCCACCCCCACTACTGGGGATGTGCAGGCAGGAGAACTCTGTGTAGGAAGGAATGGGCCTTGGTTGTGTGTGGGTGCCTGCTTTAGCCAGCTGGCTGGCTAAAAGGTCTGAATGTCATTGTCAACCTGATCAGTCCTCTGGTCCTGAGCCAGGAAGTTTCTAGATTTTTCTCACTAGATTACTCATTCCTAAAGACAATATCCTCATATGAAGTAGAATTTCTGAGCCTGGGGCCTGGGAAATGTATCTTTTACAAAATTCCCAGGAGACTCTGTGGTACACTGAGGTGAGAGACTTGTTATTTCTAAGGTATGGATAAGAGCTCCAAAAGCATTTGGCACTGAGTAGCTTTTAATATTGGGTCTCCTACTGGAAAATGAACAGCCTCTCATTCTGGTAAAGATCTAGTGAACTTTCCCAAACAAAATTCAACCCCCAGGGGCCACTGAGAAAATGCTGGAGGCTGCATTAGGTGCATTTCTTACCTTTTGCTCTAAATAAGGACAGATACACTTGAACTATTAGATAGGCTCTTTGGATTGTATTTAGGGAAATCCTAAGTATTCTATGGAGTCACTTGTACATACTCAATTTGTAGACTTGATAGTCAGTAACCCACATGTGAATGTATTATATGCACTAGAGAAAGGATCCTTTCCTAGCTTGAGCCCTCCAAATACCATGGCTGCTGAAGCCCCGATGTGGATGTGGTACAAAAGGAACATGACTCTCACCTTGTCCATGTTTATGCTTGTTATTAATGACAATCTGCACAATGGTGCCTGAGGCTTGCTGGGAATCCATAAGAGCTCCCCGGTGACTTCTGACCCCAGGAAAGTGGGGAAGACCTGCAGTCTGTTGGCTTGGCACAGGATCATAGTGCGAGCGGTGGTAAGAATGTCTCTAAAATGACAAAGACAAATTCAGTTGCCTAAGTCCACCAGTGAAAATACAGAAATGGCCTTGAATACATTAGAAGGCATTTAATTTTTTTGTGATGATGTGTTATCTAAACTGCACATCCACCCACATCAGTAGAGAAATAGGGATGTAAGGTAAAGTAGCACTGGCAACATACTGAGATGTTTCTCTCCTCTTATAGAAGACTGGACTAGATTCACTTACAAACTTCTGAGGAAGCAAACAGCTAGGAAGGGTAAAGTGTCCTACCTGCTCCTAAGACTCAAACATTTGAGTTTCAGACTTAAGGTAGCAGTCTGCAACACAAGGCAGGATATGACAGAAGTCACAAGATAAATATAAAATACTGTGCAGGTTAGGACAAGAAAGAAAGCTTCTCTTTGGCGATGCATTGTGAGTGAGCTGGGCCATGCAGGGTGAATAGATGTTTTGGGGGCATAGTGGATCAGGAGTATTTCAGGCAGAGGTTTCCAAGTTGAGAAGGTGCAGCACAGAAAACAGAGTCCATAAAAGGTAATAGTTGAAGGATAACATTCCACAAGTTGGTTGGCACCAGATCAGGAAGGACTTTAAATGACAGGCTAAGGCATGAGGACTTGGTACACAACAGAGCTGAGAATGTGGAAGCCTTTGAGGGATGTTTCTAAAGCAGAGTGATAATCAAAACTGTGATTCCAAGCATTGAACCTTGAGAATGCATTGGATGAACTGGATAGGTAGAAGAGATGGAGTCAAGTACAGTCAGATAAATGTACTGAGATTCAACATAGGTAATGGCATGAGATCATACATCAGTGCACAGAGACTGTAGACATTTCATAGATAAAACAACTGACAGCACATGCCAGTACTAGAATTCAGCTCTGTAGAGATGAAGACTTTGTTTTGTTCACTGCTATATCTCCTGGGCCTAAAATACTGTCTAGCATCTAGAAGGTTCTTAGAAAAAAACTTTTTGAATGAATGAACCCTGTGGTCCCTAATAAAAGCTTAGAGTCTTGTATCACAAATAATCCACTCGTTGTTTCAGCAAGGGGTAAAGGCACATGGTGAGCCCACTATTCTGCTACTGACCTCTGTCCCTGGAGCTGAGGTAGAGTGAGGACAGAGGACAGAATGAATGAAGAACAGAACTTAAGGTTTAAAGTCTAATAGCACTGTGTTTTAGAGACAATTATTAGGGGTAAAGGAGGTGAGACCCATGTAAAAATTGTTTGCAGGCAACTGAAAAGGAAGATCCTGATATTTAGTGATAGAAATGGCAGGGAACATTGAGAAGATATTTATGGGGTCCGGTAATCCCAACATAAAATATTTAACACATTTATGTTCCACAGACATGCATATTGCAAATTTAACTTTGGGAATTGTTATTACTCTCTTGGGGTGGGCTCTGGTGTGAGAAGAGGGGGAGCTGATAGGAGCTGGAGTAAGAGAAAGGGAACATTATTCCTTTATGTAAGAAGATCACTCCCTGGTACATTGCTATAAAAATACACAAAAATAAGAATTTGCATCCATTTATTACCATGCACATAGACAAGATTCTCAGTGCAAATATTTTTCATACCCAGAATAGCTCATATGTCTTTTTCTACAATAATCACTCACATTTCACAAAGACCATTACAGACTGTTCTGTACTTTTGGGAGTTTGGCATCATTTTGCCAAAGGAACACAGAAAGGTCCATTTGGACTGTGTATGTCCTACTGATGCTAAAAGGAGGGAGTCTGACAGGACTAGAATTTGAGAGGGAAGGTCGCTGACCCAGGATAACCTACAAACACAGGAAGTTCTCTGGTCCATGAGGGTGAGTGCAAGATAAAAAGCTGTTCTTTCGTGCCAGGAACTCAGACTCTGGAAATATGATAAGGGTAGAAAAATGATTCAAGACAAAACAAAAGTCAAAACACTCAGTGATTTTGTTCAGAGACCAGGCAGCCCCCAGAACCTCATCTCATGTTAAGTCTTTTGTTTTACAGACAGAGAAACTAAGGAGAGGAGTTTTATTCAGGGTGACAATGAAGGTTGAGGTTTTGTAGCTGGCAGAAATGAGTGGAAGTAAGTAGCTAGTAATTAGAGGAAACAGAGAGGAAGAAATTAAGGAGGGGGAAGAGGAGAAGAGGGTGGGAGTAATGATGTCTGGTCAAGCTAGATAGTCCACAAATATTTGACTAAAAGCTGCTGTGAAGAAAAGTTCTTTTCAGTATGGAAATCTGCTGCAGAGTTCACAAACACATCAATGGTTTCAACTTTGGCTGCACACAGAATCACCTGGGGAACTGTAAAAATACTATTACCTAATTCCCATTCCCAGGGAGTTGATGGAATTAGTTGGGGGTAAGATATGGGTATCAGGACTTTTATATACCCCCAGGGGACTCTACATTTAAGCCAAGGCTGAGAGTCACTGACATAGAGGATCTTCTCTTTTAGGCCGGTATTGGGAGTGGTAATGTGTGATTTTGATTAAAAGTATTACTTTTAATCAAAAGTAATTTGACTAAGGAGACCTCTGGCCAAGATGGAGGCATAGGTAGATACACTTTGCTTGCTCACACAACCAAAACAGGACAGGAAGAAATTTAAAAACAAAATGCAACCAGAACTTCCAGAAAACTGAACTGTATGGAAGTCCAACAACCAAGGAGTTAAAAACAAACATTTATCCAGGCTGGTAGGAAGGGTGGAGATGTACATCAGGGTGGAGAGAACTTGCAGCAAGGCAGTTGCTGGAGGACCCTGTGGTCCCACATTTACATGCAGATAAACTGGAAGGAACAACTAGTGGGTGAAACAGATGGCACAACCCAGGGTTCCAGTGTGGGGAAATAAAGCCTCAAAAACTCTAACTATAAAAACATGCGGGGGTTGAGGCAGCAGGAAAAACTCCCAGTCTCACAGGAGAGTTCATTGGAGAGACACACAGGGTCCTGGAATGTACACAAACCCACCTAATGAGGAATCAGCACCAGAAGGGACCAATTTGCTTGTGGGTAGAAGAGGAACTGACTGAAAGCTGGCACAGAGCTGAGCAAGTGGCATCAGTCCCTCTTGGATCCTCCTCAACATACAACACCACAATGCAGCTACATGGGTTGCCCTGCCCTGACAAGTACCTAAGGCTCTATTCCCTTACTATGTAACAGGCATGGACACACAAAAAATATGGCCCACATGAAAGAATAGATCAAAGCTAAAGAAAAAAATATAGCTAAGTGATGAAGAGATAGCCAACTTATCAGATGCACTGTTCAAAACACTGGTAATCAGGATGCTCACAGAAATGGTTCAGTATGGTTACAAAATAAAGTAAATAGTGAAGGCTATGAAAAGTGAAGTACAGGAAAATTTATAGTTTTCCAACAGTGAAGAGAAGGAAACTGGGATTCAGATCAACAGTTTGGAGCAGAAAGAAGAAATAAACAACATCCAACCAGAACAGAATGAAGAAACAAGAATTCAAAAGAGTGAGGAGAGGCTTAGGAATCTCTGGGACAACTTTAAATGTTCTAATACCTGAATCATAGGGGTGCCAGAGGAGAAGAGGAAAAGCAAAAAATAGAAAATTTATTTGGAAACATAATGAAGAAGAACTTCCCCAACCTGGCAAAGGAAATAGACTTTCAGGAAGTCCAGGAAGGTCAGAGAGTCAGGAAAAAGTTGGACCCAAGGAGGAAAACACCAAGGCACATCATAATGGCATTAGCCAAGATAAAAATAAAGGAGAGAATTCTAGAAGCAGCAAGACATAAAGGGAAAGTCACCTACAAAGGCGTGCCCATCAGACTGTCAGCTGATTTCTCAAAAGACACCTTACAGGCAAGAAGGGGTTGGAAAGAGGTATTCCAAGTCATGAAATCCAAAGACCTACATCCAAGACTGCTCTATCCAGCAAAGCTGTCATTTAGAATGGAAGGACAGATAAAGTGCTTCTCAGATAAGATCAAATTCAAGGAGTTCATCATCACCAAGCCCTTATTATATGAAATGTTAAAGGGACTTACCTAAGAAAAAATAGTTAAAAAAACATGAACAGTGAAAGGACAACAAACTCACAGTTATTAACAACCACACCTAAAACAAAAGCAAACTAAAAGGACAGCTAGATCAGGAGTGGAAACATAGAAATGAAAATCTCATGGAGGGTTAGCAACAGGGGAGTGGGAGAAGGGGAAGGGGGGAGAAGGTACAAAAAATAAATAGCATAGATGGTAGGTAGAAAATAGAGAGGGGGAGAGCAAGAATATTATGGGAAATGTAGAAGCTAAAGAACTGTGACACATGGACATTAAGCAAAGGAGGGGAGTGGGGGAAGGAAGTGTGTAAAGTAGAAGAGAATGAAGGCAGAGAATGGGGCAACTGTAATGGCATAACCAATAAAATATATTTAAGAAAACTAATTTGAATGTCTTTCATTTTTTAAAAATTTTATTTAGTTATTTTTTAAGTACAGTTTTCTGTCTATTTCTCCCATCCCAGCAGACCCTGCCCCAAACTCCCCATTTCCCTCCCAATTCCACCCACCTTAATTCTTGTCCCTGTGTACTTCATACTTGTTCCTCCAAATCCCTAACCTTTTTCTCCCTTAAATTCCCTTCCTTCTTGCCTCTGGTCACTGTCCCCTTGTTCTCCATTTCAGGGTCTTTGTTTCTATTCTGCTTGCTTGTTTGTTTTGCTGTTTAGCTTCCTGTTAAAGGTGAGATCATATGGTATTTGTCTGTCAACAACTGTCCTATTTCACTCAGCATAATGCTTTCCAGTTCCATCCATGTTGTTGCAAAGGGTAATAGCTCCTTCTTTCTCTCTGCTGCATAGAATTCCATGGTGTATATGTACCACAATTTTTGGATCCATTCATTTACTGATGGGCACCTAGGTTGCTTCCAAATCTTGGCTATTGTAAATTGTGCTCCTGTGAACATTGTGGTGCATAGGTTCTTTGAAATTGGTGTTTTAGGATTCTTAGGATATAATCCT